GGCTGATTTGATTCCAAGTCAGGGCACATGCCTGGGTTGTGGGCCAGGTCCCCAGTAGGGGGCATGCAAGAGGCAACCACACATTAATGTTTCTCTCCCTCTCTTTCTCCCTCCATTCTCCTCTTTCTAAAAAGAAATAAATAAAATCTTTAAAAATTAAATAATTAGAATCACTACTTTTTATATACTCTACTTTTTAAATCTACCCTTGATTTTTGTGGTCTTTTGTCAAAACCACTAACCAATTAAATCTATTGTATAATTTATTACATGTTTAAACCAATAAAGCTGAGTATGTATGAATAAAAACACATGGTGACTGTGAATGGCCTTATTCTATGCTCATGATTATAAACATCAAGCAGTTCATAACGTTGCTCATCTTAACTCTCTCTGCCATCAACTTTCTTAATTTCCCTAGTGTTCATATCATATCCTCTCCTTTTTCTTTGAGTTTCAGATACTTTTTCCATAGACACATTCTTCTATTAATGACCCTGCTTCTCCTTGAAAAACTGCAGGCAACTGATCAGAATTTCCCTCAAACTCCTACTATCAAACCTGCCTACCTCCCTCATCATCTGGACCCATGGCATCTGCCCTGGCACCGCCATTTTCTCCAAACCAGTCAAGCTTTCCATACTGACACTGAATCTCACATCTTCCCCATACTCTGAATCACTGCTCTAATAATTTGTCCCACTTTTCTAATGTCCAAATTTACCTGTCTATTAGATTTGTTTTTAATTATCATGCAAACTCATATTAGTTCTCCCATTTTTACAAAAGAACAAGAAAAGCACAATTTTTTCTTGATCCATCTACTACCTCTCCATCTATTTTTTTCTGCATCTCTTTAAAGCAAAACTCTGAATATAATAATCTTCATCATTGTCTCTTCTCCCATTATTTTAAACACATTCTAATCAGACTTTCATTCCAACTACTTCATCAGGATGGTTCTTGTCATGGCCATCAAGGTCCTCCATACTACTGAAGCCAATGGCCTGTTCCTACTCTTGTATTTGTTTGATCTTTCAATCACCTTTTTACATCCTTCATGATACTCAAATTTCTTCTATTACCCTACTTTCCCTAGGTTTTCCTCTTACCTCACAGATCACTCCTTTCCATTTTATTTGCTGATCTCTTTTCCTTCATTCTAGAGTGTCCAAGACTCTTTTCTTCTCCACCTAGAATCACTCTTTTAGAGATATATCTCATTTATTGTACAACTTAAAACACCATCTGTATGCCATCAACTCTCAAATTTACATATTTAGTCAGGAGCAATTACCTGAATTAATATATCCACATGCTTATTTAAAATTTGCTTGAGATATAGTAGATATCTCAGAATTAATATTTCCTTGCTACATCTAATAAATATCTCAAAATTGGCTTGCCCAAACCTGAACTCCTGATTTTTCACAATGTGATGTTCTCATGTTAATGAAAACTCTATTCTTTCTGTTTCAACCTAAAAACCTAGACTGTTGCCTTTTTCTCATACTCTACATCTAATTCATACAAAACACTGTTGAGTCCATTTTCAAGTCCCATTGAGTACTGAACTTATCCTAACCTGTTTTGCTGAACCCAGACTCTCTTGTGGATTGTTAAAATAGCTTCCTAGCTGGTCTCCTGCTCTCTTCCTCCTCTCTTCGCAGCCATCAGCGTGACCTTTACAAATGTGAGTCAAATCATTTTACTTCTCTCTCCTAACCTTTGACTGTGTCAATCAAAACACAAGCCTAAGCCTCCTTAACTGCTTACAAAGCTCTGTTCTTCCTCTTCCTTCCTTCCCTCCTTCCTTCTCTCATCACCTTCTGAGTTCTTACTTTGTTTTGCCTCTCCACAGTGCCCCAAAAATACAGGCTTCTTTGCTTGCTCCCAAACACAACACTTATCCTCCCATTTGAAAGCTTTTGTACTGGCATCTTCTGCTGCCTGGATAGCTCTCCCCACTTCATCTCCAAATATCCATGTGGCTTTCTCCCAAACCAGTTTTAAGTTTTTATTCAAATTGCATCTGATCAATGAGTCTCATCCAAAACCCTCTATTTAAAACTTTTACTCTCTCCCTTTACTAGTATTTTAAACTCTTCATATAACTTGGACCATGTGAGGAAGGAGTGGGGTCCTTCTACTGAAGTATGAGAGGGATGTACGTAGGACAGTAGCCCTGCATTAGCTATTGGGAGAGACCCACTGGCCTTGGGGGACTGTTACCCATTACTGAAGGTGATCTTGCTGTCTTTTCTCTATGCAAGTAAAGCATTGCTTCATCCAGCGCTGGACTCTGTTGTGTTTTCTTGGTGACTCTGATACCAAGAGGCAGTGAGCAAGTGTTTGGACTTCAATTTCTGGTGGTTGCCATAGTGATATTCTTTGCTATCCTCCAGGCAGGTGGAGTCCCCTTCTGGCATTGGTAACTGGTACATATTGTGTCTACTGGACTGAACAGAGCATCAATTATGATTCATAAATTAATGACATCAGTACAGATGCAGTTAGAGTAGAATTTAAGAATGACGTTAACACTGTCAGGATGTTTGGGCTGTTCCGTTCCAGTTCTGCCCAGTACTTATTGGAATGTGACCATGCATCTGGGTGGCCTAGAACAGACAAAATATGCTTTCAAAACATAATATTTTTTTCTATTACAAGTGTACTTTCTCAAAAGTGTCCTGATCTGGAAGGAAAATTACATGATCTTCCACACCAAAGTAAGCCTTTTATTTCCTTGGGACAAGGTTTTCTTATTCCAGTTTCTTCATTTGTAAAGTAAGAATAAAAATGATACATAACTCATATAAATTGTTGAGAGAATTAAATAACCATACATAGCAAAATAAAGAGCATAGAGTCTGTATTTATTTTATATATACACACATACACAATATGAAAATCAAAGAGCTTAAACCAATAGTTGTAATATATTATTGACAGACTTTGCCTTTTAAAAAAATTCTTGCCATTAGCCCATTTCATATAAAAGCTGCAGAAATACAGAAATATCCTTGTTAAATAACAAAGCTTCACCAGACAAAACAGATAAAGTTATGTTAACAACTCCCTTTGAAGAGGATGAAGCATATATTCATTTACACTGGAAGTTCAATAATATACTTCCCAATGACTACTCACTTGCTTGTAGGTAGAGAGAGCAAGAGATAACCTATTAAACTATTCTCAATAATACTGTCAATTAAAATGGACATTTTTTTCCTCTGGATATACAGTATATGTAAAAGGAAAAAAAACTTTTGATAGACAAAAATTAATTTAAATGACCATTGTAAAAAATACATTTGTTATAAAATCCTAGTTTATTTTATTTTATTTTTATTACTTAAAAATTTCTTCCATATTGGAACTTCTATGATTTTTATGATTTTTTTAAATTCCTACCATCTAATTTTTATTTTTTTAGTTACAAGATTTTTTTAACTTAGTGTACTTTTCTAAACCACATAATTGGTTTTATTATCCTCAGACATCAAGGATAATAGAAAAATATTACTATTCATTCAACAGAGAAGGTTAGGAACTAAAAACTCTTCACATCTGAAATAGAACACAATCCATTCTAATGAGCTAAAGTGCAACAGGAAGGCACAAAGACAAGATGTGTGATAAGCAGCTGTGGGACCTAAAGGTCATCACCAAACATGATTCTCATTTACCCTTTTACTTTCAGTGTCAGGATCTTGTTCTGGCAACGAAGCCCTGGAGATTTCCCATGCCGCCCCTCTGCATTGAGCTACCTTGCTAATTTAAAAAGCCTTAGTGATTATACTGTTATGATATTAATGGAAAGGTCAATGAATTCATGAAAATACTTTTTTCACTTTTATGACATTCTGAACCTTTTCTCCTTTTACAGTTTTCAACAAGAAACTGATCATCTGGGTTGGTTTGCATAATAAATGACCATACACAGTCAACATTTGGGATAATATCACTTTTCCTGTTACATCCTGAATGTACAAAATCTCTGGATTGTTTGATACAGTTTTAAAAAAAATAAAAACAAGAACTTTAAAGGAGAAAAGGAAAAAGAGAAAAACTGCTTTTAATAAGACAAGCTACAATTTAGAAGATGAAAAGGTTAAAAATTACATTTAAAATCTCATATTAAGGGGTGACATAGTGATTACTATTATCTTTTTAGAATACTTTAAACGGTGTTTTACATAGAAATCTGTCTCTAAGTTGGTGCCTGAAGGAAAAATAGCAAAAGTCTAGAGAAGCTTGAGATAATAAAATAAAGAAATGGAAATACTGAATAAGTTACAACAGAAAATAATAATAACATGCAATGCCATTTCTGGCATAGATCTAATTCTGTAAGCCATAATAATGCTTATATTTTCCCATCTAGTATACTCATATAAAATTGTTTCAAGATTTTTTAAATTATGTGATAACAGACATGTCTTTCACAATGAGTCAAGAAAAACTGTGTTTAGGGACAAATCACATAAAACAGTAGAGCCACTTCTGATTTGTGCCAATATAATAATTAAAAGTTATTTAAAGAAAGTATTGGCATGAATAACTTGTGATTTTTTGGTGAATATTAATTATTACTTAAAATACAGTTTATGACAAAGCTATTTTGAGGACTTGGTTTGCACTTTAATAGTAGATTCCCTATTTCACTTTGTGTAGATCCAAAATCAAATTAAATTTTATTCTAATAAGCTTCAATAATATCTAAGAACAAGTTTTGGATAGGTATGTTTGATGGCCAATCTTTAGAGAGCCCACAATTTTTCAGACACATTTTATCCTTTACCTAGCAAAATATTACATATTATAGTTTACCACATTTCATAATATGTTAACTTTACAACTCTGGACACAGGAAATCATGGTTTATAGCCTGAATGAACAGCATTTGAATGCTCTGAAATCACTCAAGCAGGCTGGTAGTACCCGCCGAGGGCAGAGTAGAGTCGATTGAAAATCAACCATAGAAGAAACCCACACATAACCTTACCCGGAAGGGTAGATACCGTGATCAAAGGTGCTTTTACCAGGGTGAGGCTTATCTATTTCAGTCAGGATGTGCAGACCCATGTGATGTCCCCAAATGTGGGAAACTGGACTACATAATTCATGGTTGTGGGGACTGCGTTCCTGCTCTGCCCCAGCCAAAGAACTAAACAAACAAACAAACAAGACAATCCACACAATTAGACCTCAGGTCAGTCCCACATATTGTTTTCAAAATCTATGAATACACAGCACACACAGACACACACATCAAAAACATTGTAAGTGGGGAAAAAAAGCACCTGGAGGAATAAAGAAGCACAGGGGCAGAGACTTCATGAGCATTCCAAAGGAAGTCACAAGCAAATAAAATAAGAAGAATGTCAAAGGAAGCCAAAATAAAATACTGTAGAAATTTTCAAAATAACTGTAATAAATTATGTTCAACTCTTTGACGATAAACTTTAAAATCTTCATAAAAAGATAAACCCCTAGAACAAAATAATTGTTTCGAAAACTCACTTAGATACATAAAATCTCTCAATAGGTTTGATTGAAGATAAGCTACAAATTGACAAATAGTATTTATAACACATGCAACAAGAAGAGAGTCAGTATTTAGACTATATAAATAAATTCTATAAACAAAATAAAATTAAATTGCAGGGAACATGTTAAAACATGATTAAAAGACATGAGGACATTCTTTGGAAAGGAGAAAATCAGAATGATTTGTGGTTATAATTTTATCATTTACATTCATCATAAGTCACATATATTTAAATTTAAATTAATAATCAAGGAAATATAATAATTTATATTAATGTCATAATTTACCTTGCCAATCAAGGAAATGAAAAATATATCCACAGTGAGAAACTATTTGCATTTGCATGTCTGACAGATACCAAGTGTCGGTGACGGGAGGAATGGTGGGAACATCTATAAAGGGCTGCGTACTCTACAATGGGGTTTAATCATTTGGAGGAATCATTAGGTTTAACAAACATATTAGCCACTTTCACCTGTAGTTATGTACTATAGAAAAAGTCCTGCACATGTACCCCAGAAATAGAAATAAGAAGAAAACTATGGAAACAACCTAATACACAAAAACAGAAAAGTGAAAAAATATCGTATAGGACATTAATTCAACCTATACATCATACTCTAGAAATATCATTTATAATAGTGGTATATGAATTAATCTCAGTGATCTAAAAATTATCAGCTAATAGATTTTATATGACATTGAAGGGAACAAAGTTGTGAAAAGTAGAGAACTTCATTGTATTTATATAAATTTTTTCAAGTAAGCAAAATGAAACAATGGATATTTACAGATGCAAACATATGTAGCAAGACTATGAAGAAAATCAAGAAGATGATATAGGAAGTATTTGAAAGGTAGGTTTTCTGTGAGAAAAGAGAGAATAAGATGAGCTCAAGGGGAATTTTAAAGAGGATAGTGTTATTTTTTAAACAAGTCAATATGTTAGTTTTTCTTACATATTTTTTTACTATATAACTAAAGGATATTTCAAAAATATTTGTATGTACATGAAACAATGAAGACTACTCTAAATATAATTTCTTTTTATCTTAGAATTAAAAAAACAGGTTACTAATTTTTTAATAAAGTATGTAACCTTTTAGTGCAGGCCCACATATATGTATAACAATGCTGTTAGAAATACATAGATAATGTATCTCAGTTATATTGCTTTGTACAATGAAACATTAAAGAGTAATAGTTTGTGGCTTTGATTCAATTATGGTATCACTAAATCCTCTTTATACCTGGATGCATTTACATAATTAGTTATTAACTATAATCATTATTGTCATTATTTTAAAGAACACTGAATATTTTGTTCAATTTTGTAGACCTTTAAATTAGATTTTGATAGTGAAAAAGTATGGTATTTATTTATTTATTTACTTATTGTCATTGTAAAATTATATTTTATTAATACAACCGTTGCCATTTTCATTTCATACAAACATGTTTTAAAAATGATTAGGTAAAAAAAGCATAATAATCAGAATTTATGAGAAAATATGTTCACATTTTGCTTTTTTATAATATAAAATACTTGTTAGAATTTGATATCTTGGAAACTTTTCTTCTAAAACAAAGTTTCTTTAGTTTTTTTTCCCTTTTTATGAAATTTACTGGAGTGACACTGGTTAACAAAATTATACAGGTTTCAAGCACACACCTACACAATCCTCATATTGCATTGTGTGCCCACCATCCAAAATCAAATCATCCTCTGTCACCCTGCATTTGATCTCCTTCACCCTTCACTACTCACCACTTCCCTATGGTATTTAAAAGTATGATCTTTTTTAAAATGACCTCCTTCCTTTGTGGATTCGAAAAGGCAGATATTTAAAAGTCTTTCAGGACTAGACTCATATATCTCCCAAACACTTATAAAAGAAAATCATAAGACATTTCATCATCAACATGTTAAAATATTTTATTTCTAAGTAAATTGATAAAATTTGGATTATATATGACTACTAGAAGATAAAAAATAACTTCCATAAAGAGATGACTATAATCTGTTTTTAAATTTGATGTGATTTTCTGCATAACTTCTAACTAAAAATAGAATAGAAATGGGGCAAATGTAATGAAAGGACATATACATCGAAAACTTTTAAATTCTTTCAGTTCAACTTATATATGAAAGGGAGACTATCTGAGAAAGGGTTACTGTCCAAAATACTTAAAGAACTTATACAACACAGCACCAGGAAGACAAACAATCCAATTAAAAAATGGACAAAGGACCTGAACAGACACCTCTCTAAAAGGACTTCCACATGGCCAATAGACATATTAAAAAGATGCTCAATGTCACTAATCAGAGAAATGCAAATAAAAAGCACAACGAAATATTACCTCACAACTGCCAAAATGTTTATTATCAATAAATCAACAAACAAGTGCTGGCAAGGAAGTAGAGAAAAGGGAACATGGGTACACTGTTGGTGAGAATGCAGACTGGTACAGCCACTGTGGAAAACAGTATGGGATTTCCTCAAAAAAATCAAAAACTGCATGTTGACCCAGTGATCCCACTTCTAGAAATATATCTCAAGAATTCCCAAACACAAATTTGAAAGAATATATGGACCGTTATGTCCATTGCAATTTTATTTACAATAGCCAAAAGCTGGAAATAGCTCAACTACCAATCAGGAGATGAGTGGATTAAAAAAATGCTGTGGTATGTTTATACAATGGAATACTGTGTGGCTGTAAAAAAAGAGAAAAATCTTACCTTTTGTGACAGCATGGAAGGACTTGGAGAGTATTATGCTAAGAGAAATAAGCCAGTCAGAAAGACAAATACCATGTGATCTCACATGTGGTGGTATTCTCTAATGAAAAGAATAAACTGACAAACAATACTGAATAGAAATAAAGGCATGAACATATGCAGCAGACTCACAGATGTTAGGTGGGAGGAGAGGGGACTGGATAAAAGAAGGTGAAGGGATTGTTTAAGGAACAAGTACGCATGACATGCAGACACTGACAACAGGGTCAGGAGCTGGGTGAGGTAGGCAAAGGTAGGGGGCTGATGGGGACATCTCTAATTGTGTCACCAATAAAAATAGAGTGAAAAATAAAAATTAAATTAGAAAAAGGAATACCTTTTAAAAAATCTTCTGCATGGATAAAGAAAGCATCAACAAAATGAAAAGGGAACCAACTGTATGGGAAAACATATTTGTCAATGATACCTGGGAAAAGAGTTTGATCCCTAAAATATGTAAAGAACTCACAAGACTCCACACCAGGAAGACAAATATTCCAATTAAAAATAGACAAAGGACCCGAATAGACGCTTTTCCAAGGAGGATGCACAGAGGACCCAGAGACACATGAAAAAAAGGCTCAACAACACTGGCTATCAGAGAGATGCAAATTAAAACCAGTGAGATACCACTTCACACTGGTTAGAGTGGTCATCATTAAGAAATCCAAAAACAGGCACTAGAAAGATTGTAGAGAAAAAGAACCCTAGTGCACAGCTGGTGGGAATGCAGACTGGTGTAGCCACTGTGGAAAACAGTATGGGCTTTCTTCAAAATACTAAAGATGTTACTGCCTTCTGACCTAGCAATCCCACTGCTGGGATTATACCCTAAAAGTCCTGAAACACCACTTCAAAAAAAACCTATGTACCCCAATGTTCATAGAAGCATTATTTACAATAGCCAAGCACTGGAAACAGCTTAAGTGCCCATCAGTAAATGAGTGGATCAACAAACTGTGGTGCATTTACACAATGGAATATTATGCAGAAGAAAGAAAAAAATGAACTCCTACCTTTTGTGACAGCATGGATGGAACTGGAGAACTTTATGCTAAGTGCAATCAGCCATGCAGTAAAAGCCAAATACCATGTGATCTTACCTATCAGCATGGTATTTGATGAGTGGAACCTAATCAACAAAACAAACAAGTGAGCACAAAAGAACCAGGTATATGGGAATAAAGAAAAAATGGACAGTGAGCAGAAGGGAGGGGAGAGGGAGTTAGTTAAGGAAAACAAGGGAAAGGGACAAGTCAAGGAACACGAATAGAGGACTTGTGGGCATGTACCATAAGTTGGGGATTGACTTTGGGGGGTTGGGTGGGACAAGGGAGAGCAACTAGAGAAAGGTGGGACAACTGTAATTAAACAATAATTTAAAAATAATATAAAATACAAATAACTTGAAGAGCAACATAATCATTGTGTTATAGGTAATAAAACTCTCCAAGTTGCCAATGTGATATTCAATATTTTTCTGAATTTATGCTAAACACCAAATTTTATATTTGGTACCATACCTATTTATTTTATTTCATCTGCCAAATCTTTAAACACAAAAACCAATAGAGCTACAATTATATTATGCAAATTTATTTTAGTCTTTAATTAATGTATTTATTTATTTACTTACTTATTCCATTTTCTTTTTTCCTTTTTTAAAGTCATTTTATTGCTGTTTAATTACAGTTGTCTGCATTTACCGCCCAACACTCCCCTGCACCATCTCCAAACCCACCTCCTCCCTTGCTCCCTCCCGTTTGTCTATGTATCCTTTATAGTTGTTCCTAAAATCCCTTCCCCCTTTTAAAAGTAAAAAT